CAGATCTGTGACGAGCATCAGTGTTGGAAAAACATCTTGTTTGTTCCTTACACCTCTATGCAAACGCACTGGCATGGCTTCATGGAGATGAATGCCAGCACTCTGTGCTGGGACAAAATAACAACTAACAAATCACTTTACTTTCCAAGTCACAGTCTCTACAGATCTGCCTTTAATACTGGGAATACTGGATATGTCCCAGCACAATTCAACCCGCTACAGGAGGTAAATAGGTTACAGGTAAGCATTCAGTATGCCGGACATCGTAGTGCAGAGAGTGCTAGACCTGAAGCTCCCACATTCAGCCTGTACCTGGATTAAAGACTTGGAGATTATGTGGAGCAGGACCACACCTCCAAACACGCTCCTTCCGGTTGTCATCTACATAGGTTTCCCCAGTTCTGCAAGCTGTACATTCTCGTTTACATGCCCCACCCTCCCTCCCTCCTTGTTCTCAATTCTTTAACTTCTTCATTTCTATTTAGTACACGGGGATCTGCCAGGCCCGGGAGCCGCCGCCAGTCCCCTTCGAGGCCTTCCCCAAACCGCAGCTCAGTTCATGTCCAAGCATCACCTTTACCTACTAAAACGCTGTCAAACCTAAAATGAGGACGTGGGCCCAGCGAGTGAAATTCTTTTAAACGGACCACAGCGTGTAAAACTCGCCCCCCCTCACACTTTCTGAGGGTCCTGAAGCAGAAGCAGAAGCTACTGGTGGCGTTCTACACAATAACCATTGAGAGTGTACTCACATACTGCATCATAGCCTTGCAGGAAGTTCAGCTAGCCAAAAAAAATAAAAAATTAGCTGCCCCCTCCCCCACCTGGAGGAGATCGCCACCTCTTGCTGCCTTAGATGGGTCAAAGTCACCCTCACAAAGATTAAAGACAACACTGGAGTATGGTCCAGCACTGCTGCTGCGTTCATTGTGTGCTCCAGTGCAGGGATCCATTCTGCTTTAGTACAAGTGAAGAGAGCTGAAGTGAAACAAAGTGTTAAAAACAACGACTGCAGCCGCTGTCTGTGCTTTTCATGCAAGTTTTTTGCTTCTCTGTCTCTCCTCTTTTTGACAAGCTCAAACATCTTGTTTTGTTTATTATTCCCTTCTCTTCTTAGCAAAGACAGATCAATAGATCAACTGTTATGGTTATCGTTTCACTTTACATAGCAGCTAAGAATTTAGTGATTCGATTCCTGATCAATTCTCTTATTGATTCTCGTTGTGTCCTAACTAGCTGCAGTCTGAGAGCTACCAGCATCACTAAGCAGCATATCAAAGACATTACATTTGTGCAAATTAACTGCATGTTTATACATGTTGGAGGGATTTCCTCTCTTCGTTGTGATCAGTGTTGGGTCATTACTCAAAAAAAGTAATCTATTACACATATTACAGAGAACACTTTTATTAAAAGTAATACAGTACGTTACTTAATTACTGTGTTTGGCCTGTTTGCATCCATCTTTGCATTGCTGCAATCTAGCGGCTGCAGGAAGGATAATGTTTCTGGATCTGGATGGTGCCAGCTGAAGCTCTGATGCAAATCCTCATGAAGTAGTGGCAGTGACGCCCGTCTTTTTTATGCTGTGTTTTTAAAGAGGGGTGCATATCCAAGTGTGTGCATGATAGATCAGGGAGAGCAGAAAAGCATAACGTGTATATACACACCAGTCTACTGCAAGCCACTAAATCTCATCCTATTTGAACCAGAATGATACAAATAAGCATGTTATTTAAACTGGTAGCTTTGCAAAATGTAACATTTATTGTAACATCGTCTGCTGTCCTTGTTTTTTTTCTGTTCCCCTGGCCTGAAATCCTTTTGTGTTACTCTCTTCTGCAGAAGTAACACAAAAGGAAATGTCATAATAAACAATCTGAACTGTTGCAGATACCCATGTGATCTGTCAAAGAGGCTTTTCCTTTTCTTCTGATGCCTGACACAATCAACAGGTTCCAGTCTGTCTGACTGTTTTTCCTCTGGTGCATTTTGAGAAGAAGCATCTTCATCCACACAAGTTTAACATTACACAAATCTGCTCGTCCTTATGTACTGTGAGCCCATTAATAGTATCAGGCCCCCACTATCACTGGGACCCTTTTGCCTTCATGTCCTCCCATCCACTGCATCAAGTAGAGGAAAATCACTTAGTTGAATGCCTTCATATAGAAAAACATTACCGGTTTCCTTCCTCTGAGTGAAAACTACACTTATGCAAAACGTTTCTGAAAAGATATTTTCCTGCTAGAGACACCAAACAGAATGAAATAAATACATGAAGATGGTTTACAGATGGCTCCTTGTAGTGGCAGCCTGCTGTAGCAGTTCTTTGTAACGTTCTTTAGTGTCTTTAATGTTTCTGTTGCTTTTTTTTCCTTTTCTTTTTCATCTTCATCAGCCAGACCAGCCTGCACATCCACGTAAATGAGAAGAGAGCTAGAGAGGCTCAGACAGGGGAAAGCAGCAGGACCCGACAACGGCCTGTGCTAGCCAGCTGTGTGGAGTACTCCTACGCCTATACAACCTGAGCCTGCACCTCCAGAGAGAGAACACAGGCCTGGTCCCAGTGCTACGAAGAATCATCCAGTGGCACCAAACTGACTACAGCCCTGGA